TTATATGCCCTGATTTTAGAGAAAGAAGAAAGTGTGGCTATATATAAACTACTATTGTCAACTTCCATTCAATTGGATATGGCAGATATTATTTATATGTACAAACAACCTGCCAATAGAGGGCTCCAGCAGTCAAGGTATGTTTTGAATATTTCAACCTATAGAAAGTCCTCTCCAGGGTTCTTAGAACTCTTCAAACCTTTTATGATGAATTTCACCATCAACTGACTGGGGAAAACAGTTTACATGTTGGTCTATATGCTTGTAACTTTTCTGATAAAACATTGAATTAATGCTACTGGTCACTCTGAATCCACAGACACAGACACACAAACACACACACATTTTCATCCAAGAAGTTTCTTCCATTCTTGGATGAGAAGCAAAACATATTCAAGAAAAAAACAGAAAGTCCAGTTGCCTCTTGGAAAAGCACCTTTGGAACACCTGTGACCTGGATGACTGAGAATCTCCATAGACATTGAAAATAATTTTTTTGCTAAGATTGTGTAAAAAATATGAGTGTCCCATTACAGAATATCCTTTGCTTGGACACAGAGCCTCTCCTCACCTTCACAAGAATCTCCCACAACAATGGGGATGGTATCATAAGGGAATATCGGCTTCATACAGGTCATGCCGAGTTGTTCGCTCCTGAATTTTTTGAAACTCGACTTGAGACTCATTATTTAATTAAGGCAATTGCCGGAATCCTGACAATATGTCTCTTTTGATCTTTCTTCCTCCCCATTGTGAATCCCAGTTCATAGTCATGACACCTACAATGGCCATGGTGAAAAGCATCTTTTGAATTCCACAGAGAAGATATGGTTGAATCTATTGCTCACCAACAACCACCCCCTTTTATATCAGATAGAGAGAGACACACATGCACAAACCTGTGGGACTTTGTAGGGGCCTACTAAGGTTGACATCTGGATGGAGATGTCCCTGGCAGCTCCATCAAGAAGAGTCAAAAGGTGATCTATCCTTCCACAGCTGTAATTGGGAACATTGGCTTCTCCAATTGAGAGCATGTCCAGTAAGGCATCTGAAGTGGCAATAGCATTCATATTTTTGTCATGGATGTTGTAGCCCAGAGTGAGATTGAGCAGAAGCTGGAGATTATTGTTGACCATTTGAATGGCAAAAATGAAGCCAAGGATTCTAGACTTATCAAGGATTCTAGACAAACTACTGTAAAAAATATTCATGCCATCATCATGATCATCATCATCACCATCCAATATTTTTATTTATTTCTCTTTTCCTTCAGAAGCCTATTGAGTCTTAATCCAATTTTGATCCAAAATGAGAGACTAATTATAGTCACCCACCCCTATTTAATTTTTATGAATGTTGAGAAGATGGGATGGGGATAGTCTTCCAATAAAGTTAATATATCATTATTTATAGTAAGGCTTATTTTTGTTTGTCCAATAACTAGTATTCAAAATCACTGAATCATTAAAGTAGAAGCACCAGAATAGGAAGGAGATATTTCACAGGTGACTCAGAAAAGCAACTCTAAAAACAAGTCAGTCTATTTTTATAAAAATTTGGATCTGATTATCAATGAACAGTCATAAAAATATAGAAATAGGCTGGGCAGAGGTGAGTATAACTCTTTCAATAATTTAGTTTTGAAGTGTTGAAATCAAGATTTGATGTGAAAGGGAAAATTGTCTGGATTCTTTCAGGGGGGTTTTCTGCCTGACCTTTGGTTTTTGGGATTCTTTCATAAAGCAAGACAAAAGAAAGAAACCTTGGAAATCCACCAATTCAAGAAATTAGACAAGTTTTGCAATCTAGGAGTAAGTGAAACAAAAAGAAAAATAGAAGATAGTTAGAAATGCAAATGGAAGGAATGCAATTCCATTGTATTGAATGACTTACTGAGGATATGGAGCCATGTTGAAAGGCAACTCTGTGTGCAATAGTTGTGTTGCAGTGGTGACCACACTAATGATATGGTCCCCTGGTTTGTAATATGAAAGTTCTCCATCCCATTGCTCCAAATTTACCGGACATTTCAATGTATGTTTCCCAGAGATTGGCTGGGATACTAGCAGTATCAGAAGCAGAAAGACAAGGTCCATAATTCATATAACCCTCAGTCTCCTTCCCATTTCTAAAGAAGAACTATTAGAGGAGTTAGATGAATTCTAAGACCTTTCACAAGATGGAAATGCCAGTGGTTTTCCTGATTCAGACAGAGAAAAACTGAGCTTCACCTGGAGGGGATAGAAAGGTACATTCATGAACAAAGCCTCTACATGTCCCAACACTTGTATCACATAGAGTATCATCTGAGGCATTTATCTTTACTAATGAAAAATCCCTTCCATGTTGCTTCAGTCTGATGTTTACAGAAGAGTGGCAGAAATTGTCTCAGACCAGGATGGTGATAATTACAGTGAGAAGCAACTTCTCCTCTGGGAATTTTGAAGGTCTTTTGAGGTTCCATGTGCAAAGAGTTATGTGGAAAAAAAGCATGTTGGTGAATAAAACAGAGATACATACCTGGGGGCATTATTTTTTTTGGCTCCTTCTGGTCAGATCAGGTGAAGCACAAGAAAGTGTAAGGTGACAGCTGAAACCAACATTGGTTGTATATCAATTATCAAGTTCAAGGAAAAGAGTTGGTCTTATGCTAAACAGTACTAGAGCTTAGAACCAGGCTACCTCCAAGAACCACAGCAAGATTCTTTTTTTCCCCATTTTTTTATTTCAATCTACATATAATAACAATACATTAACAGTGTAGCATCAATATATTGTACATTTCTCATTGCATATATTCGTATTAAATCATACTTCTTCAATATTTATTTTCAACCTCACTCTCTCCAAATGCCTACCATCACATCAATTAAACATACCTAGTAATTCCATTATTCAATTTTCTCCCTGTTTTCATTTTATTATTTTTTTAAATAAAAAATTCTCATTTGGCAAGCAGTGTGGTTACAGGTGTCACATCTCCATATGAACATGACCATAGTTATCTATTCATTTTATTTGTTTAATTTCATATTGCATCATCCTTGTCATTATTAAATATTAAGCTTATCTTATCCAATCCCAATTCATATTCTTATATCTTATTTTTCAGTATTCTATTGTCATTTCTCATATTATTATTTTTTTCTGTCACATTTGCCATTTTATCAATCCTTATCTGTAAATATAATTGTCCCCTCTAGTTAGTAATTCGAGCTAACCACTTTCATTCTCCCTTAATATCAATCTCCCTATCTAGTATAAAACACAAATATATATATTTTTCTCAGATTCCGCATTATATTTTCTCTATAAATCATCTATACATTACAAAATACTATTTTCAATATATTCTTATACATCACAACTTATTGTCTTGCAGAATCCCCTTCCTTATCCCTTATTTTTTTCACCCATTATCTCTCACTCTTTGAACAGTGTACCTTCTTTTCATCCTTGTTTGTTTCCTGCTCCTCTTTATTATCTGCTCCTTTCTCTTAATTCCCCTTTTCCCATTCTTGTTCCCCTCCTTTTCTCATTCTAATTATTAAATTTTTCTCTCTCCCTCTTTTGATTTTTCTTTTGCACTTCCTTTTTCTGCTTTTTTCCTTCTCTCTTTAACCATTTTCCGAACCATCTCCCTTTTGTCATCCCATCAAATCACAAATTTTTAATTCTAATTCCTTTCCCCCCTGCTTAAATAATTGTTCATTTTGCCATTCTGGGTTGGCTTCTTTTTTATAGAACTCCTCCCCCTCTGGTTTATTGTATTCTTGTGCATGATGAGTCACCATTTCTAATTTCTATAGTATATAGTTACATATTTCCAGTTTAATTTTTATCACATCCCTTGTATCTTGCATATCCGATCTTATGTCTTGTGAGTCCAGTCTTATAGCAACAAGTAGCTCCTCCATTATATCTTCTCCTTTTTTCTTTTTCTTTCCTCTTCCTTAATAGCTGAAATCCTCTTTTTTAATGGATATATTCAATCCCAGAGTCTAGTATATTATTTCAGCTGATATCTTTTGAGTTTATTTTCAACAATTCATACTCTTGAGTCTTTATTCTGAATCTTCTAATTGACCTCCCAACTGTTTCCCAAATTATCGGGTGGTTTTATGACAACAATAAAGTTCCTTTTATTTTCTTTCAAGTTCCAAGATCCAAACTCTCAAAAAGACCAGACATGTAAAAATGTAAAAAATTGTTAATGGTTGTGCTGAACTTGAATAGAATAATTATTTTATCTACTATTGGTGTATGTATGCTAGAATTAAATACAGATGATTATGCTGCTGTCATTCCTTGGGGCTTGCAGGGCTTTTAGTTCCTCTTTGTGCAAGTTGCTTCTGGGTGGTTTGCTTGTGCATAGGATGTTAGTAACTTGGTGTCTTATTCTATTAGCTTCATCTGTATTTAATTTAGTTAGGCTGGATTCTACAGCACATATGATGAATTCTGTGGGGATGTCCTAACCAAAGGATTCAATTATGCTATAGCCACAAAGGTGCTTTGGAGAATAGCTTGACTTCCTCTTCTTTGTGGCAGCCCCTCAGATATTGGAACACTGCTATCATGTCACCCTTAGTACTTCTTTTAATTAAACAAGACATACCCAATTCCAGCAACTGTTCTTTATATGTTTTAGCCTCCAGTCCACAAATCATCTTTGTTGCTCTGCACTCTTTCTTGTCTCAACATCTTGTTTACATTGTGATGATCAAAATTGGATGCAGTTTTCCAAGTGTGGTCTTACCAAACCATTGTAAAGCAGTACTAACACTTCACGTGATCTTGATTCTATCCCTCTGCTAATGCAGCCTAGAACTGTATTGGCTTTTTTTTGGCAGCTGCAGCACACTGCTGGGTCATATTTAAATAATTGTGTACTAGGGCTCCAAGATCCCTCTCACATTGAATGAGGTAAATTTATTCTCATGCTCCTTGCACAATAAATCTTCCCTTGGTTTTTTTGCCTAAGGACAGGACCTTACCTGTCTCACCTCTGAATGGCATCTTGCTGGATGGGACCCAATGCTCAAATTTGTCAAAACCCTTCTGAATCTTGAGTCCATCTTCCAAAATGTTAGCAATTCCTCCCAGCTTGGTGTCACCTGCAACTTTGATTATTTCCCCCTCTATCCTCTCATCTAGTATAGTTATGACAATGTTAAAGAGCACCGGATCCAAGACCAAATCTTGACATACTCAAATGAATGCTTCCCTCCATGTAGATGTGGTTCCATTGAGGACAACCTACTGAGTAGTCAGGAATTCTGTATCGATTTTGTCCTGTTACTGTCTATCTCACATTGTTCTATCTTACCATGAAGGTTGTGGTCTTTTTTAAAATCATGCTTATCTCCTAAATTCCAGATTTCATCTCCTTTATTCCAAGATGCTTCTCTCTTTATTGGGACCAGAATTTTTGAATATTCATAAATAATACCATAATACATCTCAGGTTGCTTCTTGCCCTTCTGTTATCAGGGGAGAAAAATAGTCTTGCTTATAAGAAACATTCACAAGATTCGATTCAGAAGATCCTAAGAAGTGCCATCTAAGTTTGCCTAGAAAGGTTAACTGATTCATTATTTACCGCCAAATTAATAGGTTGCTATGAAGGTTCTGTTCATTACACAGGAAATAATTTGTGTCGTAGGACTTCTTCCAATTTCATAGACTATTAGAAATACAGCCATTTCATAAAAAATATATTAACATTTCTTTTTGTGGAGATGTTAGAAATCTTGGAAAATGCTCCTGATATCAATTGTTGTCCCAAGAAAATATTTCTTAAAAGGTGAAAGGATAGATTATAAAAGAAATATTGTATTTTGGTTTTCTCAGATACTAAAAAATGTACCAAGTGCCCAGATTATCAATATCCAACTGAGAACTAAGTACAATGTATCCAGAAAAGAATAACCTTCCTGTCCTATGAGGAATATCTGGGTGGCATCCTAGTCTCTTGCTTTGCTTCTTGTGTCCTTTGCTCTTTATTGGCCAACCAAGGAAAGCCACATGCCTTCTCCAACAAATGGTGTTCAGCATCACCTTCTCAGTTGCTGTTTCTTCTCTCTTGACCAAAACCATCACAGTGGTTCTGGCTTTCATGGCCACAAAACCAGGCAACCGAGTAAAGAGATGGTTAGGGAAGAGCTTGGCCAACTCCATCATCCTTTCTTGTTCTGCTGTCCAAACTATTATCTGCTTCATCTGGCTTGGACTTTCTCCCCCATTCCCCGACTTTGACTTCCACTCCCAGCCTGGAGTTATCATCCTGCAATGCAATGAACGAATGCAATGTACTGTTCTACATCACTCTCAGTAACATGGGCTTCCTGGCTGACATCTACTTCATGGTGGCTTTTCTGGCCAGGAATCTGCCTGGGGCCTTCAATGAAGCCAAGCTGATCACCTTCAGCATGCTGGTCTTCTGCAGTGTCTGGGTGAGTTTTGTGCCCACTTACCTGAGCACCAAAGGGAAATTTATGGTGGCTGTGCATGTCTTCTCCATCTTGGCCTCCAGTTCTGGGCTGCTAGGCTGCATCTTCATCCTCAAGTGCTATATTATCATTCTGAAACCAGAACTGAATATAAAGGAGCATCTTACAACCAGAAGACATGCAGAAAGATGAGACAGAGGAATTTCAATGCTCAACATGTTCCAACAAGCCAAAGCTGGAAAATGGGCCAATGACTGCCTGAAATAAAACTGGAGAATAGTGTCATAAGGAAAACAAGTTTATTGATTTCTTGGGAATGCATTAACAAGACAGAAATATAGAAGAAATGCATTGAACAACCTTGATACCCTCCCAGGAAGCTTTCAGTACTAGCTTAGTGTCAGGTTCCAAGTAATGCAACCATCATAAAATGAACTCAGAGGAATTTCTATTCCTCAAAGAATTATATGATTTAATTACACATCTTGGCACTAACTGGTAGAAGCCAGTACTGAAAGCTTCCCAGGCTTCCACATCATTACAACTAAAAGGTTCTCATTTTTCCAAAGCAATAAGTCACATTGTCCATCCAGGATATAAAATACTTTCCTGGCAACTTTGCTCTTCTTTTCTCTGGCCCAGCAGCAGTTGGAATGCAGCTGACTCATTGCCCAGCTATATTGTTTTGGCTGGAGCTTCATCCACCTCAAATCTCTCTCCCACTCCATTTCTCAACTGTGTCCAACTAAATTCATACAATTCCACCACCAAATTAAATTCAGGATTGACTCCCAGTACATTTTATCAAAATTGTTGTGGTAATGCAACTGATCTCTCTCTTTTTATTTAGCATGACTCTTTCTTGAGGATAGAAACAGTAGACAGATGGGAAAATAACTTGAGGTTTCCTTCATCCTTGAGGTTTCCTTCATCCTTTCTCTTAATCTACTAGCCCACTCCTACATTTGAAGAGAGAAGAGTAACCTGACTCCAGTCTTTCAGAGAGTAAAGGGTAGGGTTTCCCCCTTTCCCCCACCTATTTTTTGCTGTGTCCTCTGTGTGCCCTGAAAATTTACTTCATGATGTATGTAGTGACTTGCAAAATATGTCATATGTTTGAGCCCATGGAAGACCCAAACTGTGTATATGTCAAATGTAAATTATATGAATTACTAGAAGAAAAAATAGAATAGAATAGAATAACAAAGTTGGAAGGGATCTTGAGTGTCTTCCAATCCAAGCCCCTGCTCAAACAGGAAACCCTATACCATTGCAGACAGGTGGCTATCCAGTCTCTTAACAACTTCCAATTTTGGTGCATTCACAACTTCTGTTGGGCAATTTCTTCTGAGTTCTAGGTTGTTTCTCTCCTTGATTAGTTGATCTGCTACAATGTCCTCCCAGTCAATGACTGCTTCAACTTCAACCGCAACAATACAACAGCACACAACAGATGCAAGCTCAATGTAAACCAGTCCAAACTTGATTGCAGAAAGTACGACTTCAGCAACAGAATGGTCAATGCCTGGAATGCATTACCTGACTCTGTTGTTACATCCTCTAACCCTCACTCTTTTAACCTCAATCTAACCACTATTGGCTTCACCCCATTCATAAGAGGTCTGTGTGGGGCTGGCATAAGTGCACAATCATGGCTACCATCCCTGTCCTATTGTCCCTATTTATTCCTACCTATTTCATGTATTCTTACTCATGTTTATACTTAGACCTATTATCTTGTTAGTGATTGACAAATCAAAATAAATAAATAGTTTCCATCCATTGCTTCTTGTCCTACCCTTAAGTGCTTTGAAGAATAGCTTGACTCCCTTCTTTGTTGTGGTAACCCTTGAAATATTGGAAGACTGCTATCATGTCACCCCTAGTCCTTCTCTTCATTAAGCTATGGATACCCAATTCCAGCAACCGTTCTTTATATTTGTGTTTGAAAAGTTCTTAAATAAAACTCTTCACTTAATAAGTCAATTATGTTAAAAAGATGCTATAAAAACTACTCTAATTGCTTCAGATGGATCTTGATTGATCTCTTTGCATCAGATATAGAAAATGGAGAGGATTTCATGAGGCCTTTTACTCCTATGTTGGCTAGGAATGGAATTTGTGTTGTTATTTCACGATAATCCTCAACAACTGGCCATACAGCCAGGGGTGGGATGTTACCAGTTCTGCCTGGTTCTAAAGAACTGATAGCTCTGAACAGCAGCAGACACCAAATTGGTTTTATGTCTGCTGCTGTTTGGCCCACCCGCCTGCCTAGGCTCTTAATCTCCTTTATTTCTTCCTTTTTCAACCTCAGCTGCTTTGCACAGCACAGTTCAGATTGAAAAAGCAGGAAAAAAGAAGCTTCTCAAATGCTGCACACAGCGCTTTTGAGCACTCCTGGCAGCACAGCTGATGATTTTGTCACACATGCACATGCTCACGAAGCACGCATGTGCATGCAAAACATAATTACCAAATTGGTAGTAACACCGGTTGAATATGACCCTTGCATATAGCACCTCTCAAGGATGCCTTCTCTAATTGAGGACAAGTGAATACCTTTGTTCACTTCATAGAATGTTTCCCTTTTGGAGAGAATCCTTCCTTTCTATTTAGCATTTGATGTTAAAATAGAAAAGATGATTTTTATGAATCTATTATTTTTCAAAACGTCATTTAGTAAGCTCGATTAAAAGATTTTGGTAATTTAATGTTTGTTTATAGATTTATTTATTATTTCTTAAACCTAAATTCTGCCCATTTTGACTAGAGATGACTATAGGGGAGGAGGTATTTTTCTCATCCCTAAAGCTACTCCTTTGAATTTCTAAAGAAACCAGTAACCAATACACCAAGTCTCATTTTTAGTCACAATAGTGTGAGTAAAATGAGTTTCCAGCAGCATGGGATTTTGTCATGATCCAGGATGGGATACAAAAGCAACAAAGTCACAAAAACAGGCAAAGTCCCTTTAATTCCTTCAACTTGGCTTCAAAGCTCATTGACTGGAGAAAAAAACTCCCCCACAAACAGTTGCGAAAAGGAAGAAATGCCGTTCAAACTCAAAATACATATAAATTATAAATAGAAAAAAACAACACGAACAACACTGAAGCAATTAATGAGAAAAGGCAGGATAAGGGCTTGAAGACATCCACAGATATCGAAATACACACACTGGGAAAGATGCCAGAACTCAGATAAGAACTGAAAGACTCGAACTATTTAACACATAACAGATAACAAATAATCAGAGTTGGAAGGGACCTTATAGGTCATCTAGTCCAACCCCCCACTTAAGCGGGAGACCCCACACCATTTCTGAAAAAATGGCAGTCCAATCTCTTCTTGAAAGTCTCAAGTGATGGCGCTCCCACAACTTCTGAAGGCAAGCTGTTCCATTGGTTGATTGTTCTCACTGTCAGAAAGTTTCTCCTTATTTCTAGGTTAAATCTCTTCGTGTTCAGTTTCCATCCATTATTCCTTGTCTGGCCTACAGGTGCTTGAGAAAATAGATTGACCCCTTCCTCCCTTTGGCAGCCCCTCAAATATTGGAAGACTGCTATCATGTCTCTCCTGGTCCCAACCTTTACTAGACTAGCCAAGCCCAGTTCCTGTAACTGTTCATCATATGTTTTATTCTCCAGTCCCCTAATCATTCTTGTTGCTCTTCTCTGTACTTTTTCTAAAGTCTCAACACCTTTTTTATAATGTGGTGACCAAAACTGGATGCAGCACTCTTGGTGTGGTCTTACTAAGGCTTTATAGAGTGGTATTAGTACCTCACTTGATCTTGATTGTATCTCTCTGTTAATTAGCTTTTTTGGTGGCTGCTGCACACTGCTGGCTCATATTTAGCTGGTTGTCCACTAAGATTCCAAGATCCTTGTCACAGTTACTGCTATAGAGCCTGGTTTCACCCAGTCTGTATGTGTACTTTTGGTTTTTCTTGCCTAGGTGTCGGACTTTACTTTTCTCTACATTGAATTTCATTTTGTTAGGTATGACCCAGTGTTCTAGTCCAGGGGTGGGCAATTAATTTCTGTCGGGGGCCACATGGAAAATCAGATCTGTGTTCGAGGGCTGAACCAATTTTATAAAAGGCCATTATAAAGGGCCCATTATAAAATGCAGCAAATTATATATAAGAATATATTCCTTGCGAGCGCCCATGAGGAAAAAGCAAGCCTCAAGTTGCTGGGAAGTTGCTCAGGTGCTGGGAGCAGGCTTTTAAAGTGCCGCCCGAGCAGGACCACCGAGCCGGGAAACGGGGCACCAAGGCAGGGCAAGGCTCTACCACCAGCAGCCTAGCTTTAGGTGGCTCCAAGCAGCCTTCTCCAAGCAGCCTGCCCGCCCACTGGGCGGAACCCTTCCCGCTCCTCAGCGGGAAGATGCTCCCGCCTGCAAATTTTGCCTTTGCAAAGTTTAAGCCTGGAAGCTCCGGAAAAAAAAGGGGGATCGGCGGGGACTCACCTTCGGAGAGGTCGCACTCTAAGTTGATTTCGAACTCCCAGCCGAGGCCTTTGCAAAGTTCTTTTTTTCTTTCCTACCCCGAGAGCGCTCCACACTGTTTTGCAGCTTTGGGGGCCACGCATCTCAGGGCAATATGCCACGCCCAGTGATTTTTTTTCAGAGGCGGGCCGGATTGGACAGACCAATGGGCTGGATGTGGCCCTTGGGCTGTAGTTTGCCCACCTGTGTTCTAGTCTGTCAAGATCCATCTGGACCATGAAGGGGATCAGGGCCCTTTCCTCTCCCATAGACCATGCCAGTCATGTTTCTCCCTCATCCATTCCTCCCTGCATGCCCTAGGATAAAGAGGGGATGGCCCTGGATCTTCCTCTGTACCCTTCTGCAGTTTCCTCCAGAACTTCCGGAGCCACACTCCCACTACCTGTCAACTGTTCCTCCTCTCCCTTGGAGTCATTTTCTAACAGGGGCATGACAGATTTTTAGTGGGCAAATGAGAACATAAGGAATATGGCCTTGTGCCTCAGAGTGAACTGTGAGATGTTTTTTTTCAGAACATTCCCGTAGGATCCTCTGAATTCAATCTTGTGAATGTTTCTTATAAGCAAGACCATTTTTCTTCCCTGAAGACAGAAGGGCAAGAAGCAACCTGAGATATATCATGCTATTATTTATGAATATTTATAAATTCTGGTCACAATAAAGAGAGTAGCAAACTGGAATTAAGGAGATAAGGATGATTTTAAAAAAGACCACAACCTTCATGGTAAGATGTGGGATTTGGGATAGACAGTAACATGACAAAATTGATACAGAATTCATGACCACTTAGTAGGTATTCCTCAATGGAACCTCATCTAAATATGAGCCAGCAATGTGCTGCAGCTGCCAAAAAAAGCCAACACAATTCTAGGCTACATTAGCAGAGGGATAGAATCAAGATCATGTGAAGTGTTAGTACAACTTTATAATGGCTTGGTAAGACCACACTTGGAAAACTGCATCCAAATTTGACCATCACAATGTAAACAAGATGTTGAGACTAGAAAGAGTGCAGAGAAGGGCAACAAAGATGATTAGCAGACTGGAGGCTAAAACATATAAAGAACGGTTGCTGGAATTGGGTATGTCTAGTTTAATTAAAAGAATTACTAGGGGTGACATGATAGCAGTGTTCCAATATCTGAGAGATTGCCAAAAAGAACAGGAAGTCAAACTATTCTCCAAAGCACCAGAGGGCAGGACAAGAAACAATGGATAGAAACTAATCAAGGAGAGAAGCAACTTAGCACTAAGGAGAAATTTCCTGACAGTTAGAACAATTAATTGAATGAATGAATGAATGAATGAATGAATGATTGCCTGAATTCTTTATTGGCCAAATGTGATTGGACACACAAGGAACTTGTCTTTTATGCATATGCTCTCAGTGTACATCAAAAGAAAAGGTACATTTATCAAGAATCATAAGGTACAGCAATTAATGATAGTCTTGTGTACAAATAAGCAGTCCTCTCTGTGGGAGCCCCTGAAATATTTGAAGACTGCTATCATGTCTCCGCTTGTCCTTCTCTTTACTAGACTAGCCAAGCGCAGTTCCTGTAACCATTCATCATATGTTTTAGCCTTCAGCCCCCTAATCATCCTGGTTGCTCTTCTCTGTACTTTTTCTAGAGTCTCAACATCTTTTTTATAGTGTAGTGACCAAAACTGGATGCAGTACTCTAGGTGTGGTCTTACTAAGGCTTTATAGAGTGGTATTAGTACCTCACTTGATCTTGATTGTATCTCTGTGTTAATTAGCTCATTTTGGCTGCTGCTGCACACTGCTGGCTCATTTTTATCTGGTTGTCCACTAAGACTCCAAGATCCCTCTCACACTTACTGATATAGAGCCTGGTTTCACCCAGTCTGTATGTGTACTTTTGGTTTTTCTTGCCTAAGTGTAAGACTCTACTTTTGTCTACATTGAATTTCATTTTGTTAGATATGGCCCAGGGTTCTACTCTGTCAAGATCGATCTGGATCATATTGTTAACATCATCTTTTCACTCTTTTTCAGCTCAGCACTACTTTGGAAGAGCAAGTTTTAGTGGTACTCATGCCCTTTCCACTTCTAAAATTTGTTAAATATTTGTTGAAATACAGCATTTCCCTTTTCCTATTCAAACATCAATTTTCATTAGAAGGCTGGAGAAGATTGCACAGAAAGTTGACAGACTCTCCCCCTGGAGGAGATTGAAAGCATCTTGTCCCTAAAACCACCTTATTAACTGTATGATGTGGACCAGGACGTGGGTATTTGACTAGTTCCAAGAAGGTGTCTGTGGAGGTTCTCAGCCATCTATGTCATAGTAATCCCAAATGTACTTTTTCAAGAGGCAACTAGGTTTCTTGTTTGAATACTTTCTTTCGACAGTTCCAAGAAGACGCCACACCCATTTGTGCTACTCAGGTGACCCTAATGACACAGAAAAATATCCAGGTGGCTTCAATGACTCTCTCAAAAAATGCAAATGACCAGCTGTCTTCAATTATAAATCCTTCCATTCCCCACCATCCAGTCAGAACTGAAGAAGCTTCTTAGATGAGAAGTGAAACATCTTCAAAGAAAGACAAGAAAGTCCAGTTGTCTCTTGAAAAAGCACCTTTGGGATAACCATGACCTGGATGATTGAGAATTTGCATAGACATTCAGTCGAGACCAAAGGGAGATTCTTTTGATAGCTCCAAGAAGGGTTTGAGGAAGGCGGAGAACCTCTTGTATGCTAGAAAGATAGACAGTGATAATACAGTGAAGGAGGAAGAATAAGTCTCATAGATAAGACCAGGGCCTATCTTCATTTCCCAAAGAAAATCTTTGGACTCTTTGTTGTGGATTTTTTGGACTGTCCAAAAGCAGAATATGGTGATGTATGAATTACCACAGCATTTAGGGCCAATTTCACTTCTCCCTGACATCAATGAGACATTCAATCATCCCATTCTGTAGAAATTCTTTTCTAAAAATCTTATTATGCTCTATGTTAGCCACTTTCTTGTTTAACTTATTTATAATAATTTAGTTGACTAGTTGTTGAATCCAGATTATACTACTCCTAATGTGATCTTGAGTCCAATATTGCAAAGCACACCAACTGCAAATGAACGATGATACAACTAAAATAATGGAAATTTTAGGGCACCACCAACATATATTTCTTGTATCAGCACAAGATTCCCATTGCACAAATACCATGTATCAAAAACCTGATATCATGTAGGCTAAAGGCCCACAACAGATATGCCATCTTAAGAATTCAAAAGAGCTGAGTGAACATCTAGGAATTCTACCAGATAAGGATGTGGAACAGAATCTTGCACCATTCATTTCAACCAAAATTGTTGGCCTGCTTAGGTATGGAGAGCAGCTTGGAGCATTTTCTAAATGTGGCTTGTTGGAAAATGCTGAGAGTTAAAATCCCCATGTCTCACATTTCTTCATTTCTTCTGGTTGTAAGCTGCTCCTTTGTATTCAGGTCTGGCCTCAGAATGATTATGTAGCATTTAGGGATGAAGATGCAGCCCAGCAGCCCAGCACTGGAAGCCAAGATGGAGAAGATCTGCACAGCCACCATGTATTTCCCTTTGGTGCTCAGGTAGGTGGGCACAAAAGTCACCCAGACACTGCAGAAGACCAACATGCTGAAGGTGATCAGCTTGGCTTCATTAAAAGCCCCAGGCAGATTCCTGGCCAGAAAAGCCACTATGAAACAAATGGTGGCCAGGAAGCCCAGGTAACTGAGGGTAATGTAGAACATGACAATGGAGCCTTCATTGCACTGCAAGATGGCCACTCCAGGTTGAGAGTGAAAGTCAAATTCAGGGAATGGGGGAGAAGCTCCAAGCCAGATGGAGCAGAGGATAATTTGGACAGCAGAACAAGAAAGGATGATGGAATTGGCTAAGCTCTTCCCCAACCATCTCTTCACTCGGTTTCCTGGTTTTGTGGCCAGGAAAGCCAGCACCACTGTGATTGTCTTGGCCAAGAGAGAAGAAATGGCAACTGAGAAAGTGATGCTGAAAACCATCTGTCGCAAAAGGCAAGTGACTTTCCTTGGTTGACCAATGAAGAGAAAAGGAGACAAGAAGCAAAGCAAGAGGGAGACCAGGAGGATAAAAGAGAGGTCACGATTGTTTGCTTTGACAATGGGACTTTCTAGGTATTGAAAGAATATAACTAAGACAAAACCTGCAGTTAGGAACAAGAATAGGGCAAAGGAGACCAGGATGATGCCCAGATATTCTTCATGCAATAGGAAGGATACAACTTTGGGGATACATTGAACTCGGTCTTCATTTGGATATTTATCATCTGGACAGTTCATGCATTGTTCCATATCTGAGAAAACAACAAAGCAATATTTATTTAACCTTCTGCCCTTTTACATTTCAAGAAATACTTTCTTGCCACAACAGTTGATACCACAGACATTTTTAAAGAACCATTTGTTTTGAGTTGAACAAAAAAAAATATCTGAAGATTATAATTTTCTATCTCTATGTCTGTTTGTCATTTCTCTCTCTCACACACACACATATCTATCTATCTATCTATCTATCTATCTATCTATCTATCTATCTATCTATCTTCTATCATTATCCATCCATTCATTCATCCATCCATCATTATCCATTCATTAGCTGTCTATCCAGCTATCATCATCTCTCTATCATCATCCATCCATCTATCGTCTATCTATCTATCTATCTATCTATCTATCTATCTACCTACCTACCTACCTACCTTCCTACCTACCTATCAGCCATCCATCATCTATCTATCTATCTATCATCATCATCTACCTATCAACATCCATCTATCCATCTCTGTCCATCTATCAGCTGTCTATATCTATCTATCTATCTATCTATCTATATCTATCTATCTATCTATCTATCTATCTATCATCAATCAGCTGTATCTATATTGCTAAGGTGTATCAAATTGGGGGAAGTTCTAAGAAATGGATAATTTCCTCTGTAACATACAGTTACTTGATAGGAAGCTACATTATTAGAAGTGAGAAAATGAAATAGTTAACTTTTCTAGGCAAACATCATTGGTTCTATGAGATGACACTTGTTAATATACTGGATCCCAAGGATGTTTTATCTTATAAAACCTAGTTAACTCACAGAGAAAACTAGTCCTGCAAGTAACCAGAAATGGCTTCTGGCAGCAATGGTAAAATGTGTCAAATGAGATGCAATCATAATTGTCCCCTTCATTGTGGAGCAGCAACACCTTTCCAGTGACCCTCAAAGGGAAGCCCATGGAGAATGCATCAAAATTAGTGTTACATTAGGTGGACCTAAAATCATGCCTTGAGTTTCAAAGAATGTTCCTAGAGATATAAACGTGGAAGATCACATTCAAAAATAAAAAGCGGATGAGATATTGGCACTGGATGTCATAGTTTGCTCAATATTTCACATTTCTGTCTCTATCCAGATTCTCCTTTAAGATTTTTTTTTTTTACTATTCTTTCCTTTAGATCATAAACTGTGCAGTATGAAAATTAACAAGAAAGCAGCTGAGCTTCAAACTGTTTTTTAATTTGCAGTTCCATATAAACACTCTGGATGAATCCACTTCTACAAGCCCTTCCATTAACTTCAGCCTGAGCACCTTCTTGAGTGGAGATAGTCCCCCCTGGACAAGGAACGCAGTCATAGCAGCAAACTGGCTCTCCTTCTCGAGCTTGTTTGACAAATCCAGGTTGACATTTTTCCACACATTTGGACTGAGGAAGAGACTAAGCAGAAAAACATGGAATTAAAAAAAACATTAGCACTAACCAGCCTGACATGCTGACATGTTCTTGAAAATAAGATTTAAAGTAATTGCTCAGTTTCTAGAACTGTAGTGATATGAGATAGATGTGAGGTCTTTGGATATGTCCCTCAAAAAGAGTGAGTCAGGCATCTTTTTTTATGTATAGTGAGAGTATTTACACCAAGACAAATTTCTTGTGGGTCCAATCACACTTGGCCAATAAAGTATTCTATCTATCTATTTATCTATCTAAAAAAGCACAACAAAGAATGTTCTTTCTGCGCCAATTCAGAAAGCTCAAACTACCCAAGGAGCTGCTGATACAGTTCTATGGAGGAATGATTGAGTCTGTCATCTGCACCTCTATAACTGTCTGGTTTGGTTCTGCAACTGAACAAGACAGACACAGACTTCAGAGAGTAATTAGGACTGAAGAAAAACATTTTTTTAAAAAAAATTGGTTTGTCAATTGCTTACAAGATAATAGGTATAAGTATGTACATAGTTATGAATATATGAAATGGGTACATATAAGAAAAATAAAAGAAACAATAGGACAGGAATGGTAGGCACGTTGGTGCACTTATGCACGCCCCCTACAGACCTCTTAGGAAAGAGGTGAAGTGAATAGTAGACAGTCTAAGGTTAAAGTTTTTGGGGTTTGTGGAAGAAACCACAGAGTCAAGTAGAGTATTCCAGACATTGACCACTTTGTTGCTGAAGTCGTATTTCCTGCAGTCAAGTTTGGTGCTGTTAACCTTGAGTTTGTATCTATAGTGTGCTCTTGTGTTGTTATGGTTGAAGCTGATGTATTCATTGACAGGTAAGTCATTGCAATGTATGATTTTATATAACATACTTAGTTCAGACTGAAGACAGCGTAATTCAAAATTTTCTTGGTCTAGAATTTCAAGTCTGGTGGCATAAGATATTCTACAATGAGTAGAGGAGTGTAGAACTCTTCTTGTGAAATATTTCTGGACTTTCTCCACTGTTCTAATATCAGATACATAATGTGGGTTCCAGACTGATGAGCTGCATTTGAGTATTGGTCTAGCAAATGTTTTGTATGCTCTAGTTAGTAGTGTGATATTACCAGAGAAAAAGCTACACAGGATTAGGTTAACAACTCTTAATGCCTTTTTGGCTATGCAGTTGCAGTGGGCTCTAGCACTTAGATCATTAGAGGTGAGTATTCCAAAGTCCTTTACAGAGCTTGGATCATCAACAAGGTCTTGACTATTCAGCTTGTATTTTATTTTCTGGTTTTTTTTGCCAATATGTAAGACAGAGTATTTATTTGTTGAGATTTGAAGTTGCCATTTGTTTGACCATTCTGATACATAGTCAAGATCTTTTTGAAGGGTAGCAGTATTGTCTGTGGTATTGAACAGCTTTACATCATCAGCGAAGAGAACGCAGTTGCTCTTTATATGATCACAGAGGTCATTTATGTAGAGTATGAAGAGAGTTGGTCCTAGAACACTACCTTGGGGCACACCACTAATGACAGGTACAGAATTTGATAGGACACTCCCAATTTTGACCATTTGTTGTCTGTTTGACAGGAATGCTTCTATCCTGTTATGCAGTTGTCCAGAGATAGCATAAGATTTTAGTTTTAGGACTAAAACTAGTTTTAGTTTGTCGTGTACCACTGAATCAAAGGCTTTACAGAAGTCTATGTAGATTGCGTCTATTGTTTTGACTTGATCGAGTTGTGTAGTCCATAAGTTTTTTTCAGTATTACTACTAACCTGCCTTCAATTGAGGACCTGTATACTGCATGAGTCAAAAAGAGGGCTGTGAAAATATTTACAGACCCCTCACATCCCAGATATAAACTGTTTCAACTCCTACCTTCAAAATGAAGCTATAAACTACTGCACACCAGAACAATTAGACATAAGGATTTATTCCCAAACGCCATCACTCTGCTAAACAAATAATTCCCTCAACACTGTCCAACTATTTACAAAGTCTGCACTACTATTACTATGAATCTTCTCATCACTCCTTATCACCCATCCCCTCCCACTTGTGACTGTATGACTGTAACTTTGTCACTTGTATCCTTACGATTTATATTGACTGTTTCCCAGTATGATTTGATTGCTTATTGTACGCTGTGACTAACATTTAGTGTTGTACCTTATGATTCTTGATGAATGTATCTTTTCTTTGATGTACACTGAGAGCATTTGCACCAGGACAAATTCCTTGTGTGTCCAATCACACTTGGCCAATAAAGAATTCTATTCTATTCTATTCTATTCTATTCTATTCTATTCTATTCTATTCTATTCTATTCTAT